GTGGAAAAAGTAACGTCGTAGCTAAAGTGATGTACTTCCCTTTTTCCTTTCCCTGCTGGGGGGGGGGGTCCCGGGTCAGTCGTGGGGGGTCCCAGGTCAGAATGCCGCCCCCCTTGGCGCCCCTGTGGGTCCCCGGCGGGGTCGCCAGCGGGGGTCCCAGGGGAGGTCCCGCCCTCCACCCTGTCGCACCCCCAGACGTGTCGGCAGGGCGGGCCGGGCGGTTCGCCCGAGTCTGCCTCACGAGTTCTGACCCTGAGGCTTGAGATTCGCAGCAGGTTCAAGGATGGAGGGCGGTCCTGTTCAAAATGCGGCTCTCGCTTGAGCGCCGCGCGCTTTCGCCCGAAAGTCTGCAACGGCTGCAAGGATGGATGGCGGGTAGTTTTCAACATGTGGTTCTCGCCTTAGCGCCGCGGTCTGAAAAGTTGCAACAGCTTCAAAATAGAGGGCGGATGGTTTTCAAAATATGGCTGCCGCTATAGGAACGGACACGTTCGTGTGAAAAGTGCGCAAGAGTTTCAAAGATGGAAGGCGGGCGGTTTTTGTTTGTATGTGGTTCTCGCAAAAGCACCGCACACATTCGTCTGAAAAGTGTGGAACTGCTTCGAGGATTAAAGGCGGTACCTTTGCAAAATGATGTTCTAGCCTTCACGCCGCGCACATTTGTCTTAAAAGATCGCACCAGTTCCAAATATTCGTATGGTTGAAATCCCAGGGATTATTTTCTGGCACGACGTACGACTTGTCCGGACGCAACAATCACGTCGACACGCGGTGCTGAAGTTCCAGGAATGCTGTTCTGGGATTACCAAGACGCGACAACCAAGTTGACTCCCTGCATTGAAATCCCAGGAACTGCATCTCAGCACGAATGAGAATTCTCAAACGGTTGTCTCCTTATGGGGCGCTTGCTGCAATGAGAACATTTGTTTCCCAGAAACGGCTCGGGCCCAGGGTTCTCTTTTAGCTGTTTACCCCCGGATCTGACGGGAAGAGGGCCGGCGGATTTCTTTTGCGATAAATAACGAATGGGAAGAGGGCCGGCGAATTAAAATTTCAGGGTGTCCCTAGCAAAGCGCTTGTTTTTCAGAATGTGTTGAGGATGTCTCGAGCGAAACGCTTGTTTTGTGTTATAGATTGTCCTCTCCTGGGGACCAGAATTTAGAGGATCTCTCAAGTGACATGCTTGTTTTCACGTGCCCAGGTCTTGAGGACGTCTCGAGCGAGACGCTTGGTTTCACGCCTCCAGGTCGCCAAGGCAGAGGTCTAGCGCCAGGATTTGTTGACGATGTCTCGAGCGCGACGCTTGGTTTCACGCGTCCTCGTCGCCCAGGCGCATGTCTAGCATGAGGATGTGTCGAGGAAGTCTCGATCGAGACGCTTGTTTGCACGTGTCCAGGTTGCCCAGGCGGATGTCTAGCATGAGGATGTGCTGGGAACGTCTTGAGCGGAACGCGTGTTTCCAAGTGTCCAGGTCGCCCAGGCACAGCACAGCCCTCGGCACGGTACATCAATATCGATACCCTTAGCACTGCAGCCTGGCATGTTGACTGGCACGTTCCGCGGAGCATCCCGTGGCGAGTCCCCCCCTGGCACGTCGCGCGGTGCACGTCCATTGGCACGTTCCGTAGCGCGTCCCTTTGGCACGTCCCGCGGTGCGTGCCCATGGCACGTCCCCTGGCACGTCGCCTGGCGCGTCCCTTGGGACGTTCCGCGGCGCGTCCTCCTGGCATGTCCCCTCTGTCGATTAGTTCTGGGGCAGCTACCATCTGCTCAGGCAGCTCGAGCTTGAGATCCAGATCAGTTCGGTCAGGATTCAGATGCCAGGGAGGACTCGATCCACAACGAGAAATCGAGCACAATCGCGGCATGGCACATCGCAGTTCAGCACGGCGCAGCACAGCACAGCCGTCGGCACGGTACATCAAGATCGATACACTCAACATTGCACCTTGGCACGTTCCTTGGCGCGTCCCGTAGCGAGTCCCCCTGGCACGTCGCGCGGCGCGTCCCCTGGCACAGCCCGCGGCACGTTCCGTGGCACGTTCCGTAGCGCGTCCCTTTGGCACATCCCGCGGTGCGTGCCCATGGCACGTCCCTTGGCACGTCGCCTGGCGCGTCCCTTGGGACGTTCCGCGGCGCGTCCTCCTGGCATGTCCCCTCTGTTGATTAGTTCTGGGGCAGCTACCATCTGCTCAGGCAGCTCGAGCTTAAGATCCAGATCAGTTCGGTCAGGATTAGGATGCCAGGGAGGACTCGATCCACAACGTTAAATCGAGCACAATCGCGGCATGGCACATCGCAGTTCAGCACGGCGCAGCACAGCACAGCCCTCGGCACGGTACAGCAAGATCGATGCACTCAGCATTGCAATTTGGCACGTTCCGTGGCGCGTCCCGTGGCGAGTCCCCCTGGCACGTCGCGCGGCGCGTCCCTTGGCACGTCCCGTTGCACGTCCATTGGCACGTTCCGTAGCGCGTCCCTTTGGCACGTCCCGCGGTGCGTCCCCATGGCACGTCCCTTGGCACGCCGCTTGGCGCGTCCCTTGGGACATTCCGCGGCGCGTCATCCTAATTAGCATGTCCCCCTGTCAATTAGCTCTGGGGCAGCTACTATGTGCTGAGGCAGCTCGAGCTTAAGATCCAGATCAGTTTGGTCAGGATTCGGATGCCAGGGAGGACTCGATCCACAACGTTAAATCGAGCACAATCGCGGCATGGCACATCGCAGTTCAGCACGGCCCAGCACAGCACAGCCCTCGGCAAGGTACCTCAAGATCGATACACTCAGCATTGCAACTTGGCACGTTCCTTGGCACGTTCTGTGGCGCGTCCCGTAGCGAGTCCCCCTGGCACGTCGCGCGGCGCGTCCCCTGGCACGTCCCGTGGCACGTCCATTGGCACGTTCCGTAGCGCGTCCCTTTGGCACGTCCCGCGGTGCGTCCCCATGGCACGTCCCCTGGCACGTCGCCTGGCGCGTCCCTTGGGACGTTCCGCGGCGCGTCCTCCTGATTAGCATGTCACCCTGTCAATGCTCTGGGGCAGCTACTATGTGCTGAGGCTGCTCGAGCTTAAGATCCAGATCAGTTCGGTCAGGACTCGGATGCAAAGGAGGACTCGATCCACAACGCTATAGAGCACAATCGCGGCATGGAGCACAGCACAGCCCTCGGCACGGTACATCAAGCTCGATACACTCAGCATTGCATTTGCCCGTCTCCCAATCTGATGTCTTTGAAACGCCGCCATGCTTTACATTTCTATATTCCTTTCCGGGTTCGTGGGTCGATCATGTTTGTAGGGACATATGGAAAAAAGGTTACGCTGGTCCTCTTCCTCCATCACGTTTCATTACAAATAATCCCGCATTGTCGCACCCCGAGACGTGTCAGTAGGGCGGGCGGGGCGGATCGACTGAAACTTCCCCGAAATGTATGATCCTGAAGCTTGAAGTTTGTTAGGGGTACACGGATGGAAGGCGGGTCGATGTCAAAATGTGATTCGCGCATTAGCGCCGCGCACAATCGCCTGAAATGTTTGCAAGAGCTTCGCGGATGGAGGGTGGTTTCTTTTTCAAAGTGTGGTTATGACCTCAGCGACCCGCACATTCGTTATAAAAGTCTGCAAGAGCTTAACGGATGAAGGGCGGGCGGTTTTAAAATGTGGCTCTCGCTTAAGCGCCGCGCACATTCGTTTCAAGGGTTTTCAAGGGTTCTTAAGAGCTTTTAGCAGTGTCGAGGATTTGTATGGTCGACGTCCAGGACGCAACAATCACATTGATTCACGGAGTTGAAGCTTCAGGAGTGCTGTTCTGACACGATTTAGGATTGTCGGGACGAGACAGCGATGTTGATTCCTGGCATTGAAGTCCCAGGACTTGCATGGTGGTGCAATTGGGGATTCTCGAATGGTTGTCTCCCTATGGGGCACTTCCCGCAGTGAGAATACATTCTTGCTGGGACCTATGAAGAAGAAACTTGGAGGGAGGGCTGATTGCAACATCGTTGATGCGTCTTGGATCTACCCTGGTCTTCCTCCTCCTCCCCTTCGCATCCAGGCGTCGTGAGAAAACCACGGCGGGCTCTGCTGCCCCGCTTCAGCCCTCCTGCTGCCTTGACGGACAGACCCAGACGCGAACGCACCTTGTGCAGATTGAATCGACAAATCTGGTCGTGACTTCGTCGGCCCAACGCCTTCTTTCAATGTCTCGACCCCGAAAAGACACCATCTCGGGCGCGGACACACTGACCCCTTCCGCGATGACCCCTTCAATGACGACCCCCCAATACAGATGACTACAGTCAGAGAAGGGCATGAGAGAGTAGTTATTAAGCAGGAGGCGTCGGTCTGCAGGGGAGTGAGGGGGGGGGACTGGCCCAGGGGAGGAAACATTGACTTAGAGTCGGCGATGCACCGCCGACAGATCGGCGACAGGCCCTGGATAGTGAAGCCGCACGTTCCTTGGTGGGACGGGGGGCCCGAGGCTCCGATGGGCGATGCATGGGCGAGTCCCACCCTGCCGTTGCCCCTGAGAGCGAGGGGGGGGGCGCCCAGGTCGCCCCTGGCGTCCTCGTCCGAGGACCAGCCGACCTGCGCGCCCACGGCGGGGGCGGAGGCCCGGCGGCCCCGCAGCGGGGTGCTGCATAGGATGGCACTGGGTTCGTCGCCGAGCTCGTGCGCGGGCGCCGCCGGGCCGGCGCCGGCCCCGCCTCGGCTGCACGCGAAAGTGACCCTCAGTGACCCCCTGACCTCCTCTGGTGCGCGGCCGCAAGGGGCCCAATCCAAACGCGCAAGCCGGTGCTGGAAAGACTCTGTGTGCCCGCACCAAGGATCACTACTCCGGCGAAGGGTCTCTCTTGCGCGTGGGCAGCCGACCACCGTGCGGCGGCCCGCGCCAGCCCGCGCCCGCGGGGCGCGCGCGCCGCGCGGGGTCCGGCGCGGAAGCACCTGCCGCCGGGCAGCCGCCCGCCGCCTGCGGGCGCGGCGGCGGGGCGGGCGGCGGGGCGGGCGGCGGGGCTCGCGGCACCCACAGGCCAGACATGTCCGCGGGGTGCCCCGCCCGCCCGCCCGCTGGGCCGCCGGGGTCCCAGTCGCGCAGGTCCGCCCGGCCCCGCTCCGACGCGGCGTTGCTGGAGGAGGAGCAGCGCCGCCAGGACGACGCCGGGGTCTGGCGCGCGGGCTGCTGGGCCCCAGTGCGGCCGCGGGGCCTCCCGCCCAGAGTGCCCCTGTGCGCCCCCGCTGGGGGCGCGTCCGGCGGACAGCGGCTGCGCCGCGCCGCCTCCTCTGGCGGCGGCGCGGCGGGGCCCGCGCTCTCTGTGTCGGAGTCGTCCACGTTGAAGTCGGGCCCCGAGGAAGAGTCGCGAACACTGGCGGTGTCGGCTGGGGCTGCGGGCTGCTGGGAGGGAGCGTCAGCCCTGGCGATGGGCGGGGAGCTGGTCGGTTGGCTGGTGCTGCCTGCACCACCACGCGAGCGCAGTCGCGCCTGCGCAGCGCTGCCACGGGAGGGCAGCATCTCCTCCAGCGGAATTGCAGCGTCGCGCGCGATCGACGCCCGTCCTGGGGGCCTCCGCAGCTTGCCCATCTGCAGGGGGGAGCGCCTCAAGACAGCGTCCGCTGACGGCTCCGGCGCGTGGGAGTTCAAGGACACCGGCCTGTGAGGGCTGGTCGCCCGTGAGTCGGCAGGCTCCGCCACTGGAGGCGCCTCTGCCTCGGGCGGCGATCCAGCGCTGGCGTCCAGGGCACCTTCGGGTGATGTTAGCTCCAGGTCGATCTCGGTCGATCCAGGTCGATCTGGTAAAACTTCTCGCGGCTGCTCTGGCGACAGCTGCTGGGCGGCGCATTTCTCCGTCCACGGAACGAAGACGTCCAGAAGCTGCTGCGTGGTGGGGCAGGTCTCGGGCTGCCTGCCAATGGCCGGCCCAGACGCCGCCACGTCGCCACGGCCCGCGCCTGCCGCCGCACCGGCCGAGGACGCGCTGGACAAAGTCCTGGGGCGGCTCCCTGGGGCGGCGGCGGCTTCCACGCCGCTCGGCCCAGGGCGCTCGCCGTAGCCGCAGCGCTGGAGGGCGCCAGACTGCCGGCTCGACGCGGAGGCAGAAGCGGGCGGGCCATCAGCGGCGGCACCACCACGCTCGCCGCTGCTCTCGGAGGAGCCGCGGGAGAGGCAGGCAGCGCGGCCGCTGGCGCCGGGCGGGCTCTCGGACGACGCCGAGCTGCCGCCGCTGCTCACCGCCTGGGGCTGCAGCGCCGCCAGGTGCCTCTTGCCCGGGGACGGCGCCACGACCGGCGGGGTCGAGTCCGCCTCGCTCGATGCCGACGACACGCCCGCCTCGGCCAGGATCTGGTCCACGTCCAGGGTCTCCGCGTCCGCCTCGCTCGACGACTCGCCCGAATCGGCGCGCTCCGCGCCCGCGGCAGGCATCGCCGGCCGCGCGCCTGCGGCGCGCCTACGGCGGGCCGCGAGCGGAGGCTGCGGAGGCCGCGGGCCGTCCCTCGCCGTCCTCCTCCCGCTCCGGCATTGGGTCTCGCCTGGGCCCCCGAGCCACACTCTCCCAGCTCAGGGTGTCGCGCTCTCGAGGGCAGCACATCCGGGTGTCCGCACCCGTCCCCGGTGGCTCTCGCCCTCTCGCCCACGTCGTGCTCCAGCCAGCTCGGAGCCGCGCTGTCGCCTCGGCGTGGTCGCATGCCGCTCGGAGTGGTGGTCTCGCCGCAGCGCCAGCCAGGCCCTGAGGGCAGCACAGCCCGCGACTGCGTCCGCCCAAAAACTCTCGCCTTGGCCCGGGCAGCACTCCCAACTCGGAGTTGGGCACTCGGTTCAACGCCAGACACATTCCAAGCCCCGGAGCATTCTCCTCAGCGCCGGCCAGTCCTTGAGGGGCAGAACAGCGAGCGATTGATTCCGTCATCGGTGGTTCTCGCCTCCAGAACTGACCCCACTCCCAGCTAGGAATCGCGCACTCGCCTCAGCGTCTGCCTGCCATGCTTCTGGATCGGAATGGTACTGTCGCCTCTGCGACGGCCACTCCCGAGAGCACTACTTCGGATGAGTGCGTCCGTCTTTCTACTGGCGTTCGCCTTCGCCGCGGCCACATTCCCGAAACGGAACCCAGAACTCGCCCCAGCGCTGGCCATCATCCCAACTCGGTAAATGGAATCTCGACCCTGCAGCAGCCACACTCCCAGCTCGCAGCGGCGTCCTCGCCCCAGCGCCAGGACATTCCCGGCCGGGGTCGGTGCTCTCGCTTCAGCGCTGGCCACGCTCCAAACTCGGAAGGCTGCTCTCGATATGGTGGCGGCCATATTTCCACTACTTCCACCTCGGAGTGATGCTCGGGCCTCGCTAAGACACTCCCAGCTCGAAACGTTGCTCAGGCTCCGTCGCTGGCCGTGTCCCCGACTCGGGATGTCGCTGTCGCAGCAGGGCTGGTCACATCCCAAGCTCAAAGTGGAGCTCTCGCCACAGCGCCAGCCACATGACCAGGCACAGCAGCAGAGACGGAGAAAGAGACAGAATCCAGACCAGAGACAGAAGTAGTAGATACATAGTAGATACATAGATCTACCACCATGCCCTTGAGGCACGAGTTGGCGTGTCCTCAAGTCCTTGGCCTAACCCCTGAAGCCTCAGTCAATCTCCTGCGGCTTCCCGCGTGCCCTCTGGGCTCACCCGCATCTTGTTGCATGACTTGTTCGGGCCTAAGAGGGCCCCAAGACGGGCCAAGAGGGCCCCAGGAGGCCCCCAAGACGGTCCAAGAGGGCCCCGACTCGCCCGCCGAACGATCGGTCCAAGACGCCCAAGATGGCCTGGAGACGGCTGCAGCGGCGCTAAAGACGCCCCAAGACAGGTCCAAGAGGCCTCCCAAGAGAGCCCCATGAGGCGAAATATACAAAATCCGTTTGGGCGGCATACGTTTGTAGCATATGCGATTGTTTGGCGTTGCGGCGTTCAAGACGGGCCAAGAAGCCCCGAAGAGCGCCCCTAGACCCCTAGACCGCCCAACAAGCCCCCACGAGGGCCACAAGACGGCCCAAGAGGCGCCCCAGACGGCCAAAGAGATCCCCAAGACGGCCCCAAGTGGGGTCCAAGAGGCGGAGCCCGAACCAACAATTCGAGCTTTCCGCCCCAAGATACCCCCAGGCCCCAAGACGCCCCAAGACGGACCCCAAAAGACCTCAAACTGCCTCCAAGAGGCCCCGGGAGGCCTCCCACGACATCCCAGAGAAAATCCAAGAGGCCGATGACCCACAAGCCAGGCACGGTGGCGGGATGGGCCGAAGGCCATTAATATCCGCCGCCCCCTGTTGGCTTGCCCTTGGTTTTTGAAGGATTTTGGCATTTGCGCCTTTTCGGCTCTCCGACGGCTCAAGACGGCCCAAGAAGCCCCCAAGATCGCCCAAGAGGCCCCCAAGAGAGCCCCATGATGGCCCAAGTGGCCTCCAAGATGGCCCTAGAGGGCCCCAAGAGGGCCCAAGAGGCCTCCAACACGCCCAAGATGGCCTCCCAGACGCCCAAGATGGCCTCCAAGACGGCCCTGGAGCATTCCAAGCGGGCCCCAAGTCGGCCCATAGAGGCCCCCCAAACGGCTTCCGACGGCTTCAGACGTGCCAGGAACCCACCAAGATGGCCGAAGTTGGCTCGAAGCTGGCCCGAGACGGCCCAAAAAGCCCCAAAGATCGCCCAAAGCTTGCCCAAGAGGCCTCCAAGACGGCCAAGATGACCTTCAAGATGCCCACGTGTTCCCCGAAGGCTTTCCAAACCGATTCGGGGAACACGTGGTCCGATAGCTTGGCAGGTCTGGCCTCAACGTTCGGCCACATAGGCGCTTCCAAAAAGGCAGGGGGCGGCGGTGATTCGCCGTAGGCGTCTTCGATATCCGCCGCCCCCTGTGGCTTGCCACAGGGGTGCACGGCGTGCTGGACGATTCAGGTTTTGGTTTTGGTTCTTTTTCTAAAAGAACTCCCCAGTGGGCTTCGGCCCGTCCCGCCGGCCACCCGTAAGTTTCCGAAAATCCATCTGTCAATGCCTTTGTTGCCCCAACTTGGCCCAAGATGGCCTCCAAGACGGCCAAGATGGCCCAAGATGGCCTCCAAGATGCCTCCAAGACGGCCAAGATGGCCTCCAAGACGGGTAAGATGGCTCCAAGATGCCTCCAAGACGGCCCAAGATGCCCTCCAAGACGGCCAAGATGGCCCCAAGATGCCTCCAAGATGGCCCAAGAGGCCTCCAAGACGTTCTCCAGGAGAGCCCGAAGAGGCCAAAATCATTGGTTTTCCTTAGGTTTTTGAAGGTTTTTTGCGTTTTCTTCTTTTCGGCCTTCCGACGGCCCAAGAGGCCCCCAAGATCGCCCAAGAGGCCTCCAAGAAGGCCCTATGACGGCCCAAGGGCCCCCCAAGACGGCCCCAAGAGCGCCCCAAGACGGCCCAAGAGGCCTCCAAGACGCCCAACATGGCCTCCAAGACGGCCCTGAAGCGCCCCAAGAGGGCCCCAAGACGGCCCAGAGAGGCCCCCAAGACGGCTCCAGACGGCGTCAGACGGACCAGGAACGCCCTAAGACGGCCAAAGAGACCCCCAGGAAGCCCCCAAAGGCCCCCAAGAGGCCCAAGGAGGCCCCCAAGATGCCTCCAAGAGGCCTCGAAGAGGCCCCCAAGAAGCCCCCAACAGACCCCAAGGGTGCCCCAAGAGACTCCTAACAACCCTCATCCTCCTACTCTATTTCTTCCTCTTCCTCTTCCTGTTCATAATCATTCTCTCCCATGTGTTCCCCGAAAGCTTTCCAAACCGACTCGGGGAACTCATGGTCCGATAGCTTGGCCAAGCTCTAATCCAACTTTCGGCCACATCGGCGTCTCCAAAAAGGCAGGGGGCGGCGGTGATTCGCCGTAGGCGTCTTCGATACAGAAGGAGACGGAGACAAATCTGTGAGCGTTCGGTACACGTAGTCAGCGTTGGCATTGCCAGCGTACAAGTACAAACAACTTCGGTCACGCGATATATAATCACAGTTGGCGCGTCATGCTCAATCGCCACACCTGGCCAAGTCATATGTGCTACGAGCATGCGCGCATGCACAATCCCCTCATCGCCGAATGAATGTCGTATGCGCGTGTGCCCAGGCAACGCATCTAAACATGCGGGTTGCTCAGGGATAGCAGACTGTGTGCAGTGTCGTGGAACTCAGCTAGTCCGCAATCGTACCACATTGGCTCCAACCTTCCATTTGAATGAAACGCTCAGCCACACAGCACTGTCCATGTGTCCCTGGCACCCTCCACAACCGTCACGCATCCGCCACCGTGCAAACGGCACGCTTGGGCGTGTTAGAAATCCTGTTAGCTGCCTACTGGAACTTGTGTTCTCCAATTGCCCCCTCCTCCTTGCGGTGCAAGGGCCCATAAAAATCGCACGCTGGAGGCCGAATATGCTGAAACCCTGTGACAGCCCCAAGACGGCCCCGCCACGGCCGCCCCGAAGAGAGCCCAAACACGGCCCCAACACCCCCAAAAACCCAAGAGGGCTCCGCGCGGCCGCTTCGGGGGAGCCCGGTCGCCCAGACCTCCCCAAGCCGCCGACAAACCTCAAAACAGGCCCACAAAACGATTTCAAAAGAACCCAGGACGCCCCCAAAAAGCCCCCAATAAGCCTCCAACGTGTCCTCATGAGGGGGAGGAAGGAAGGAGGATGATGAGGAGGGAAGAGGGGCAAGAGAAGGACGAGGCTGACGACAAGGAGAAGGTGTCTACGACCAGAGCTAGTTTAGACAGGGCGCTAAACAGGAGTGGATATTGAACTCCTCCCTCTCTTGTTCTTCTTCTTCTTCTTCTTCTTAGTATTATTAATACTATTATTGTTATTATTATTATTATTATTCTGTTTGTTCTTCTTTTTCTCCCTCCTCCACTTCCTCCGCATCCGTTTCGTCCTCCCTCCTCCCTCCTCCTTCTCCTCCTCCTCCTCGTCCTCCTCCTCCTCTTCTTCCTGCTCCTTCTCCTCTTCCTCCTCCTTCTCCACCTCCACCTCCTACGGCGGGAGGGGTTGCCGCAAGGAGCTGGGCAAAAGGTCCGAACACGATGCCAAGCTGTGAACCCCCAGCACCACCACAAAAGTATATGGCAGCCCTGGTGCGCATGCAGTGGCTCCAGCGGGGCGAAAAAAGAAACAAACATTTCAAGTCGGCCGTTTCGTAAAACGCTATGTGTTGGTCAAGAATGCGTATTGCGCATCGACTGTCCAAAACAAAAACCAACATGACGGGAACGATGTCACACAGAAGATGTGCTTCGAGTACTGAATGCATACGATGTGGGCACGTATTGCTGTTCATGCGATGTGGCAACCTGGAATGTTCGTTCGCTGGCAGACAACGACGCCAATCCAGCAAGCAGAACCCCGAGCATAAATCAGGCGCAAGCCCTGCAGGCCCGTAGAAACTGCCAGGGGGTGCGCAACCCATGGATTACGCCATGGGTTGCGCCACCCAAAGGTTACACAATGGGTCGCACGATGTATATGTTGCGCCATGGATTGGGTCATGGGTTGCGGCGTCCTTGGTTAGCGCCATAGATGGGTTGAGCCGTAGATTGCGCCATGGTTTGTGCCATCCATGGGTTGCGCCGAAGTTTGCGCCAGCGCCATCCATGGGAACCACCAAAGCATGCGGCATAGGTTGCCCCCTCCTCGACCGAACAAACAAAACGGCATACTATGGGTTGCGGCGTCGTGGGCCTTCTTGGAGCTGCTCTCGGGCCGTTTCGGGTCCCTCTCGCGCGCCTCTCGGGCAGTCTGGGGACGGTGTTGGAATTATGTTGGGCCGTCTTGGGAGGCCGGCAGCCAAAGTCAGAACCCTGACATCAGTGGGACACAATAGAAAATGAATGACGCTTGCCTCTTGAAGCCATCT